GACCATTATATTTTGGAGAAGGGCTTCAGGCTGGCACTTTTCACATATTATTTTTACAATTGGCCTCTCTACTGCCCATTTGTTATGTGATTAGACCAGAATAGCTTTCCTCAAAGTGGTGTTCTAGATTTCTTAGAACAAAAAGTATTTGGAAGGTAGTGCATTAAGGAAATTGACTAGAGGATCCCAGGTATCTCTTTACTCTTCTTTATCCATGGTAAGTTACGTTTATTTCTTCACATTCTCAAATGCTGCAAAAGGCATTTAGGCAGCAATCCAAAGTCCTACCTCCAGTCAGATTGGACAGTACTGGGTAGGTAAATTAGACATAGCATATCACAGCTTCTTCTGCCTTTTGAATATTTCTGAATTTCTATTTCTATATGTAATAGAAATTCTGCTCACATCATTTGACTTCAGTCAGATTGCTTCATCAATCTAAACTTGAAGACATAATAGCACAGTGAAAAAAATCACAAATCCAGATTTATTTCTGGTCAGTTTAATACAGACTGTTGAAATTATCAGCAGTCTGAAAATCATCCTGCAGTGGTTACCTTGAATCATAGCTACATAAAGCTATGCTACATATTAAGAAGAAAATTTTAGTTCACAAATTAGGTGGTCATCTCATACTTATGCAGGTAATCTGTACTGATCAGATGCTTTGGTTTTCATGAAATGTTTCATTAATCCTTTTGAAATATTTAGACCTTGAGACCACTATGCGACTATGTTGTTCCCAATCTAAGATAATCATGTTTGAAAATTGCTTCTCTGTGTGCATTTTATTCAAGAATAGCTTATAAAAAAATTAAGAAGTTACACTGAATGTATTTTATATCAAAAGTATATCTAACAAGAGAAATATAAACTCTATTTTTACCCATTTTGTGAACAATGCTTATGAAAATAGAAATGCATTTTTTATTTTAAAAGTTTTTCTTGCTATTTTCACAAGGTTGTCTGTCAATAAAAGTATGCAATATTAAATATGTAAGTCCACCTGATAGCAACTTGGAGTATACACACATGGAAAGAAGTATGAATTGTTTTCAATATATTTTCATATGAATAACAAGGAATTATTTCAGAACACATTCCAATACAGTAATTATAGCCAAATACTCATTTTAAAAATAGTAAATGTCCATACATGCATAAAAGGGTGAAATATGATTTTAAACAGTATTTTCTTCTCCTTGCTAGTTATTCTGTGGAATGTTTGTTAAGAAATGAATAAATGGACGACCATGGACACAGTTATTAAGTTGGGTTCCAAGTTGCTTCCCCATTCTATATATGGTGTTCTGTACATCTTCCTTTGATAAATACAAAGGCAATTGTCGAGATAGTCGGACTGCTTCTCCCTATGAAATAAAAAAATATGAACATTAGATAGTGATTATAATGTACTGAATAACTGAATGAATTGGGGTGAATGACTTAATATTTTCTACTTTAGAAAAATATACTCTTATTTTGTCTGAACACCTGATCTACTAAAATAAGAATTTCTGCAAACATAATGTGGGATAGTTCCAAGAAGTATAGAGAAACTTGACAAGTGGGTGATCTTCCATTACATTATTTTCCTTCTTTGCCTAATCTTATATACATTTTTTAAAAAAACAAGACCAAGTTTCAGAAACAAATACAATGAAACTGATTCTGTCCCAAATCCAAGTACTTAAGGAGACCATTTATTCTTTAGTGCTGTGTTGAAAAAGATTAAGGTTTCGCACTGGTATAGACGGTTTTCTGATATATCCTAGTTGCACAGTTCTACTGACACTTCATTGGAAGAAAAGATGAATATGTACAATTTGAGATTTACAGATAGGATTGTGTAAAAGACATTTTTTCACTGCCATTATATTTTCTAATTAGAAGCAGTGTAAATAAGAAAAAAGGGAGATGGAATACTTTCATCTAGAATTAATTACATGATGTTCTCAATTGTGAGAAAAAAGGGCAAAGCAAACAGAATCAAATGGAGAGGAAGTCAGAAATATAGAGATACTGGTCTAATGATTCAATGGGACAATATTTAATTGAAATCTTTTCTGCCAGTTGCTTTTATGCCTTCTTTGATCACTGAACCTTTTCCTTTGCTCATATCTTCATTACTCAGAACTGTCTTTAAAAATTCTATAGCATTTTTTGAGTTGGTTTTTGTGATAGACAAATTAACACAGCTAGATGAATGCTTATTCAATGCACATTTCATTTAGGCATAATCAGTATCTTGGATTAAGTAGAACTTTAATACTAATTAACTATTTAAGTATTTAAGTAATTAAGTATTTTAATACAAATTATTATGACCAGACAATTTCTCACAACCATCTCACTTCATGTATATTGTATAAATACATGTTTAGTGTAATGTGGGACTATGCTTTGTGTTTATTATACTGCTTCCATTGCAGAAGCTACATAATTTTTAAAATGTAGATATAGCCATGTTATTTTCAATTAAAATGCATACATCTCATAACTGCAAATTAATACTCAATAAAAGTAGTATTCCAGTTATTCAATTTAATTTCTGCTTCTGGTATAATTTTCTCACCTCTCAGAGAGCAGTATCTTATATTTAAGCATTAAGCTATGGAACAATCTTTTGAGAATACAACATTCTTACCTCCAAATAGTTTACCACTTTAAGAGGTCTGCATTCATAGACTTCTTGTGCATTATTATTTATCACAGCACTTAGAATTTCTTTCAAATCTGATATACCATAGTACGGCAGACAGCTGGTCATTCCTTCTATTTCCAGCTGACTTTCCACAGCTGAAGTACCTTATAGTAAAACAAATACATGATATATGGAATAACTGGATATAGTTTACATACTGTTCTGATTTGTATATCAAAATAGGTACACTGGCAAGCAATGCCCTAAACAACAGTCATTAACACATGGTTGTGCTACAAACACTTTCACTAGATTTGCATAATACCTTAGGACTGGGCAAAGTACCCTTTCTTTAACTAGTTTTAAAGCAGTTGAATCTTTTGCAAAACTCACAAGGGTGTTTCAGAAGCTGTCTTGTCTGTCTCCACATGCATACATTGCTAGGATGATCTTAAGCTTCTTGTTATTTTAAATTTTAGTGAAAATTAAAAAAGCTTATACTTGTTACCGAAAATAAGATTAAAAAGTCAAAGATTAAATAACTTGCTAGAAGATTTGCAGGCAGTGTTATTGTGATCCTAAATAACCATGCTAAGACATGGTACTTCTTTTTTTATAATAATTTTATTAAAAATTACAATTACAGCAATAAAAACTAACACAAACTAAAAAAAAATAAAAGAATAAAAAGCAAAAAATAGAAGGTGCAGAAAAAATAAAAATAAAAAATAAAAATATAGTAAAGAAAAAGAAAAGATATAAAGAAATGATTTCCCCCTTTATCACAAGAAGTATAAACAATTTTAGTAACTTATCACCTTCTCTTAAAATACAACAAATGATCTGTTCTTCCCATATCCCATCTCTTATGCATAAACACATCTGTAAAGCCTCATTTCATTCCTGTAAAAGTCCATTAAGAGTTACCTGAAATAACAACATATCTATTTTAACCGTGATCATATATACCAACTTTATATGAACGTTAGTTAATAGCCGCAGTACTATCTTTCCTCTAATTCTCCTGCAGTTTTTTTAATATGTTATTATTATTTATTTTTATTTTTTTAGTATTCTTATTCTTGATGCTATGCAAACACACTGAGAGCTCTTTGCACCAAAGTCAAATTCCTTGTACGTTTACATACTTGGCCAATAAGGTATTCTATTCTATTCTATTCTATTCTATTCTATTCTATTC